CCTGGGATGGGGGTTTGGGTGAGGAGGAGGAGGAGGGTGTGCTTCCTCCACCTGGGATGGGGGTTTGGGTGAGGAGGAGGAGGAGGGTTCTGCTTCCTCCGCCTGGGATGGGGGTTTGGGTGAGGAGGAGGAGGGCTCTGCTTCCTCCGCCTGGGATGGGGGTTTGGGTGAGGAGGAGGAGGAGGGTGTGCTTCCTCCGCCTGGGATGTTGGATGGTTGGAACGTGCTGCCTGAGAGGGGTGGAAAGGAGCGGGGAAAGGGAGACGAAGGGATGCTTCCTCCTCTCCTCCTCCTCCTCGCTTCCTCCTCTCTTCCTTGCCTCTTCTTACCTCTTCCTCACCTCCTCCTCGTCTCTTCTTCTTCCTCCTCACCACATCCTCCTCCTCTCCTTCCTCATCTTTTCCTTCTTGCTTCCTTCTCACCTCTTCCTTTTACTCCTTCTTAGACCTCCTTTTTCCTTCTTCCTCTTTTCCCCATTCTTCTTCTTCTTCTTCTTCTTCTTCTTCTTCTTCTTCTTCTTCTTCTTCTTCTTCTTCTTCTTCTTCTTCTTCTTCCTCCTCCTCCTCCTCGGTGCCTCTGAAGGAGCAGACTCGGGGAGCTGATAAGGCCAGAGCCAGGGCGGGGCTGGAGCAGCGACCGAGGAGAAATGACGTGAAATTGGGGTGGGAAAACTGAAATAGGGTAAAATGAGGCGGGGGGGCGAAGGTTGGGATCCAAATATGTAACGGGAAAGTGATGGAGGAAAGATTGGCTGGAGAAGGAAGGGAGGGAAGAAGGGTTGAGATTAAAAATTATACAAAGAAAAATGATGGAAGAAGGGCTGAGATGTTCTCAAAGTGTTGGAGTGAAAAGGGAAAAATAAAGAAAAGAAAGAGCAGGAAAGGAGGAAAAAGAGAAGGAAAAGGGATTGTTTCTGCCCGGTTTCGAACCGGGGACCTTTCGCGTGTGAGGCGAACGTGATAACCACTACACTACAGAAACGCCGTGCCGCGCTCCGCGCCCCGCCGCGCTACAGCCGCGGCCGCGCCACCCCCCGCGCCCCGCGGCATCAGCGGGACCCCGCGGCCGCAGCCGAGGGAGGAGCTCGGGAAAAGGACAGAAAAGAGACATTTCGGGGAAAAAAAAAAACCACGTTCGAGCACCCCGTGCGGGAATCGAACCGGGGTTCGCTGCGGGCGTGCCCAAAAGAAGATCCCCGCCCGTGGGCCCGCCCCACAGCGCTGCCACCGCCTCCAGTCCTCCAAGCGCACCGAGTTCCGTGGCTGGACAAGCCCCGGAGAGGAAGTGGGGGGGACTGCCACCGCCCTCGTTGCTAAGCAACCGAAACCGCTTCCGGTCACGGTGCACAGAAGGGGCGGTTCCCGCGCCGGAAGGCGGAAGTGCCGCGGCGTTTCCCGTTTGTGGCGGAGCCGCCGCCGGGCGAGCGCGGCCGAGGCGACCCGGCGGGGACCGGGCGGGACCCGGCAGGCACCGAGCGGCTCCTCCGGCACCGGCCACAGCCGCGAGGGCGCGCGGGGGACGCCGGCACCGGGGGCGCGGGTAGCGGCGAGGCCCGGTGAGGCCTAGAGGGGCCCGGCCCGGCGGGGAGGCCCCGGCCCGGCGTGGGCAGCGGGCGCGTTGAAGCCTCCGCCGGGGCCTCGCCGGGCTCCAGGGGCCGTGCCCGGGCCGGGGGGAGCGGAGCGGGACCCAGCGCGGGTTGGGGGCCGGCAGGGGCGGGGGCGGGCGGCTGAGCTGGGCCGGGGGCGCGGCGGGGCCGGGCGGGAGCCCCGGAGGAGGAGGAGGAGGAGGAGGAGGAAGGTCTCGCCCCCCGGCATGGCGGCCCCCGCGGCGCTGGGCGGCCCCGGCTCCCGGCCGGACCCGGTGGAGACGCTGCAGGAGGAGGCGATTTGCGCCATCTGCCTCGACTACTTCGCCGACCCGGTGTCCATCGGCTGCGGCCACAACTTCTGCCGCGGCTGCATCTCCCGGCTCTGGGCCCGCGGCGGCCCCGAGCCCCCCGCCGGCGGCTCCGAGGGCGGCTCCGAGCTGGAGGAGGAGGAGGACGAGGACGAGCTGGAGGAAGACGAGCTGGACGTGGAGCAGGAGGAGGAGGAGGACGAGGCCGGCGTGGACGAGGAGGAAGAGGACGACATGTGGGAGGAGGAGGAGGAGGAGGAAGCCGAGCTCTGGGAAGACCCCGCGGAGGACGAGGAGGAGGAGGAGGAGGAAGAGGAGGAAGGAGCCGCCGCCTGGGCGGGGGGCGCACAGGGGGGGCTTTACTTCGGGGACGAGGACTATGACGAGGACGTGATGGAGGAGGACGTGGAGGAGGAGGAGGAGGCGGAGGACGAGGAGGAGGACGAGGAGGAGCAGCCGCCCCCCCGGCGCCCCCCGGTTTTCACGTGCCCCCAGTGCCGCAAGACGTTCCTGCAGCGCAGCTTCCGCCCCAACCTGCAGCTGGCCAACATGGTGCAGATCATCCGGCAGCTGCACCCGCGGCCGCAGCGCCCCGCGGGGCCCGGGCCCGGCCCGGGGGTGGCTCCCGGGGGTCCCCCCGAGCTGTGCGAGAAGCACCAGGAGCCGCTGAAGCTTTTCTGCGAGGTGGACGAGGCGGCGATCTGCGTGGTGTGCCGCGAGGCCCGCGGGCACAAACACCACAGCGTGGTGCCCCTCGATGAGGTGGTGCAGGACTGCAAGGTGCGGGGGGCTCGGGGGACACCGGGGGGGCTCGGGGACACCGGGGGGGCTCGGGGACACCGGGGGGGCTCGGGGACACCGGGGGGGCTCGGGGACACCGGGGGGGCTCGGGGACACCGGGGG